CGCGGCGGCGCGGGGCGGCATTAAACTTGCACTTGCTGGAGGCGCGCGCTCGCCGCTCAGATGAAGGTGCGCGGTCCCCGGCTGTTGACAACCCCCGACTCTCCGCCCCGCGACGCTCAGGGGCCATCGGGGACTTGTCAGGGCCTCTGCTGCACTTTGGGTTCGAATTTGAAAAATAATGGTTCCAGCCTGACTTTTTTTAAAAAAACAATGATTCAGCCACTGCAATTTTTTAGATTAAATTATGCAAAACTGGGATCGTAATAACAGTTGGTTTAATTACAGAAGCTAATATGGTCCAGTTTCTAGTCTCCATTTTCAAATCTCGCCATAATTTCACTGATGGGCCCGAGAACACTTGCCAGATCAAATCACCGATGAGCGGGGGCGGGGGCTTAGCACCGCGGGGGCCATGTGCCTGCACAGGTCTTCTGCTTCCCACACTGGGGCTGTCGGGTCTCCGGGGAATAACATCCAGGCGGGTCCTGGGGACACGGTGCTGCGTCCTGTGTCCCTTTGACAGGGCGCTGGTGGCCTCCTGGAGTTAGGACTGGTGGTTTGTGAAGGAGTCCGCGAGTGCCCGCAACCGGGTAGAGCGGGGAAAGGATCCGACCTGCGATGAGGACCCTCAGCCTTCCAGATGTTTCCCGGAGTTAGGGAGGGAGCAGAGAGGCGGGCAGGCCGTGTGCCAGCTCAGCCCCTGGGCAGCCCACCTGACACCTGTGTGCCGGGTCCTCCGTGAGGGCCTCCGGTGGGAATGGCCAGGAGGAGCCTCCGCCCACGAGTCCCCCAGGGCAGACAGGTTTGTTTGGGGCCTTTCTCAGGCCTCCCGGCCCATCCTGCCCTCAGGCTCCGGGCTTCCGGAAGCTCTTGGTTACTGTCATCTGAGTAGAAGCCCAGACACCCATGTGCCGGGCGGCGGGCAGTGGGCTGGCCTGAGAGAGGCACCTTCTGTCTAGGACCTCCCGATTTCGGATGCAGGGTTCCCTGGTGCAGCCCTGTGCACGTGACAAGCGGTGCCCTCCCCCCACACACACCCCGAGGACGTGTGCCCCGGCCCTCCGCCGAGGACAGGGGCCTCCCAGGCAGGGTCTGGCAGAGGCGAGGCAGGCCTGGTCCTCGGGGCTCTCCCTGACCAGCTCCCCGTGGGCCCACGCCCCTCTGCCCTTCCCAGTTGCTGGAGTTGTCCGGATTGTGGCCACCACTCCTGGTGCAGACAGTCCTTTCCCAGGAGAGCGCTGAGGCTGGACGTTCCAAAGTGACCTCCCCCAGACCCCAGAGCGGCAGGGTCCACCCTGCGCCCCACGCCGCCCCTTCCCATTTTTAGGGGCGCCCCCATCTCAGACCCCTGTTGTCGCAGGCACATGCTCCCCTCCACGTCCCCTCTAGGATGATGTCCACGCTCGTGTGAGGCCCACAGCCTGGGCCCTGGCCCGCAGGGCCGCCGACTTCATGGCCACTTTCATAAACGTCCACATTCACTCTTGGCCCGAACCCCCATCCCCCGGCCACAAAGCGTGTCTCACTTACATGCACGTGGGCAAAAGCAGTCACCCCAATGAAAAGCAACGCCCCGTGAACATCCCCCGCCAGGACACACCCCGCCGGAGACTCCGGAGCCGATGGTCCCTGATTCCACGTTGCACCCCTCAGCACGTCCGAGAGCTGGGTCAAACAAAAGGGGGCTCCGTCCTCTCGGCTCATTCTGCGAAGCTCCCACGGGAATCCTCTTCGTGACAATTACGCGCAGGTCAGGCGGCCGGCGGCCCAGCCTCCCCGGTGGCCGAGCAGCCCCAGCCGGCGGCGCAGCGGGTGACGCACGGGCTGGGTGTGCACGGTGTGGCTTCCGAGGCAGCAAGGACGAGCACGCTGACCCTCTGTCTCTGTCTCCATCCCAGATCTATTACAAAGTCATCAAGGACATCGAGCCGGGAGAAGAGCTGCTCGTGCACGTGAAGGAAGGCGCCTACTCCTTGGGGACGGTGCCCCCCGGTCTGGACGGTAAGGCCCCCACGGGCAGGAGCAGAGGCCCGGCAGCTCCCAAGGCCGCCTGTCACCCCCGACCGCATGATGGGGGCCGGGCACCCCAGCCACTGCCCGGACCCCAGGCCGAACGAGCCAGCTTTCTCCTTACAACTTCCCGTCCTAAGCCCTTCACTGTCCCCTTCCATGAGTCCTGCGGGCCCCACCCTGAGTGCGAGACAGGCCCTGGGCCGTCCGGCGGATACGGGGTGTGGGTGCCGCGCCGCCTTACATCCCTGCGTGTGGAGCCCGGGGCAGGAGGTGGCAGCCTCTGTCCCCGGTACCTACAAACAACGGCAACCGCAGAGATGGTGCTGTGGCTCAGACAGTCGCCTGCAGAGCCCTGTGCCACCGAGAAGCTCCAGCCGCCTTCGTGAGGGCGCGGTGGCAGCCGCCCTCGAACGTAATGCCCATCTGTAGTTCACAGAAACAGTCCGCGAGAAGCGCTGGGGCACGGCGCGCCTGGAAGCGGGAAGCTCGGGGTGGGCGCGTCCCCCGGGGCTGTGGACAGCAGCTGCACCTCTGCCAGCGCCGTGTGCCCTGTCCCCACAGCCAGCCTCCTGGCTGGGCACTCAGGGTCTGGGCGGTAGGCACGCCTCCCTGCCTCGGCCGGCCGGCCGTCCACCCAGGCGCATCCCGGAGAGCATGGCAGAATCCCAGTCGCAAGCAGACTAGGAATTCTGAGACTCAGATTTACTTCTCGCGTCCACGTTGTTAAGCACTGTGCCCTGTCACCTTGGGATTCTGGACCCGGTCCGAGTCATGGGAAAAGTCAGCTCGGGGACCACTGCCTTGGCCCCAGGACTGGCTCCTCCCCTGGGAGCGACTGCTGGGCCTGAGGCCCACTGCTCTGCCAACGAGACCCCACAAGTGAGCAGAAAGGCAGGCCCCCCTTCCGGCTGTGTCCCGAGCTACCGATTCTGCTCGTGGCAGAGAAACGGGGTGGCTGGCTCTTCCTTTCTGTCTTTCTTTCCCTCCCCTGCAAACACACCACAGCTCCATGATGAACGCCACTCCCTGCAACTTTCACCCAGGGTCACGGGCACGGGAGTGGCATTGGCGGGGCAGGGAGCAGGGCACAGGGATTACCCGGAAGCCTCCGAGAGCAGACACAGAGCTCTCTGCCTTAATTTACCCTTTTGATCCCGAGCGTGGCCAGCAGTCAGGAGCCGGCCTTCCCTTATGCAGCGGAAGCTAGTGTCCCCCTGTCGTTCCAAAGGCGATGGCCGCAGCAGGACAGCTTTACGTACTCTCCTCTCAAGTTTGGTTTTAATTAGGCCGTGCAGAAAAGGAAAATAAATGGCGAGAGCCGGATGGCAGGGGGATGGTCTCGTATTCCTTGAAATAATTGTTGAAAAGACCTATGCCCTTCAGTGACACACGAGAACCCCGAAAGATCCACGGAGCCGGGGCGGCGTGCCCGCCGACGGGACCGCGGGCGCGTAGAGAAATTTCTTTCTTCCCGGAGGTTCTGAAAACCTTGGTTCCTGCTTCGCTTCGGCCCCCGATCTTACGGCACCTGGGTCTGCATTTTCCTAATAATTTATCAAACGTTTGTGGGCTAATTGCTTTCCACACATAATAGTCCAACATCAAATATTTGACTTTTCATACTCTTTGCTGTCAAGATCACTCCTTTGCCTCGCAACGGCCATCCCCCCCAGTAAAACCCTGCATCACGCAGAAAGAAAATGCAAAAACGTTCCTTACTAAGATAATTATCATAAAAAAAAATCTTTTATTCCAGCCCCAGCTCAAGGCGGCGGCCCCTTATCACGGCAGGAATTTTTGGAGTGAGCTCCTGAGTGCTTTGAGTCTCCATTCTGATAGATTAGCATGTAGATGCCACATAATTGTGTCCCCCTCGGTTCTCTGAAGCCATTAGGCACCGATTTATTTTTGTTGCATTCTTTTTCCTGCTCTGCCATCAGAAGTCGCTGATGGAACTTCAGATAGACAAGCAAGACGCAGATCAGACAGACGAGACGCCGGCTGCCTCTGCCCTGGCTTAGTCCAGTTTGCGTGGACGATGGGGCGTCAGCTCCAGCCACGGCCCCACGGCCCCCCGTCCCCCACCCGACTTAGATGAGGACAGTGCAGTTGTTGGGGGCAGAGGGTTCAGGGGACGCGGAAGACACGGAGGGCCTGGCTTGCCAGCACGCTGGGGGAACCCTCCGGTCTGGGACTGGACGCGCCTGTCGGGGCTGCAGCTTCGTGAAGAAACGCGATGTTGGTTTTTCTGCGGGTGATTCAGAGCACAGGGAGCCTCTTTTAGGTTCATTGGTTCCGGCGACTTTTTATTTTCCTTTCAAGGGAAAGGGGAAAGATTGCTCTTTCAGAAGTACTTCTTGCTCTTGGAAGAAAATAAAGAAAATCATTTCCATTCAAATGTGCTTTTCTTTTGAGAAAGGCTTAAAACCATTAACTTTTTCTCTCTCCAAAAAAAAGGGCAAGAGAACGCAGTGTATTGTGTATAAAGCATATGAGGCCGACATATTGTAAGACAATACAGTATAATACAATACAATGTAATACGATACAACATAATATAATACAGTATAACGTAATATAATACAATGTAGCATAATATAACCAGAATATAACATATTCTTTGAGAATTTCTTTAAAATATTAATGCGTGGGTTGTGCGCATCCTTCCCAGCCCTGTCCAGCACGCCCCAGGTGTGCATTCAATGCCAGCCTTACCTGCATGGACGTTGGCTGGACACCCAGCCGCACCACAGCATGGGGGCTGAGGGGGACGAGGCTCAGACATGTCCTGTTCCCAGCTCTGTCCTTCGACCAGGACAAACTTGGGTCCATGGCGGGCCGGGAGCCGGTGGGGGAGGGCAGCGTTTCCCACCACGGTGGGCTCCATCATCTCCGGGACCCCTCAGAGGCCGTCAGAGCGCGAGTCGGACTGACGTTATGTTTTAAATCCAGATTCCAGATCAAAACTGGAAAAGCAGTCGGTCAGAGTTTTGGGTGGGTGGGTTGGCGTTTCTCCTTGCCTTTGTTTTCAAACTGCAACTTCTGTGATTGTTCTTAGCTGGGTCTAGAAAGGGTGAAACACAGGCTGACGTTTCCAACTCGGTCTCGATGCTGGTGGGAGGGCCCGCTGCAGCCTCGCGCCTGCCAGGAAGTCAGAAGGCACCCACAAGGGGAGTCGTGTGCAGTCTGAGCTTCCGGCTGCGTTCGGAACACTACTCTTGGGGCTCGGGTGTAAAGGAAGTCGGTAGTTCCAGAGACAAGGAGGCTGCAGGGGGGTTGACGGTGTGTCCCCAACTTTCACTCCGCACGCGGCACATGTCACGTGCGCTCGTGGCAAGTGGGGACTCGGCCGCCTATTTCCTGGGCACCGACATGGCAAAGGTCGCAATTTCGTGGCTCTGCCGCCCTGCCAGGGGTCCTGGGTGACTTGTCCGGCGTTTCTCGGCCTCGCTTGAGCGGTTGTGAAGGAGCCATAAACATTGTCCCCTGCCGGGTGCTCCTGGTGTGACCCCAGGCCTGGGCGTGCGGTGCCGGGGACTTCCCCGGGCCAGCGCCTGCCGCGTGGGGCTCCCGCACCTCGGGGCGCATCCCGTTCACGTGTTTCCAGAGGGGACATTTTTCCTGGGAAGAGTCTGCGCTCCAGGATGCTGTTTTAAAGGCAGCGCTTTGCAGACTCGCCGGGTGATCGCTTCGCCTCGCGCCTCGTCCTTGCCAGCTCCCCCTCCCCGTGCACGGGCTCGGGGTTCCAGCCTGGTCCCTGAGGGCCGGCCCAGGAGGGTTTTGTTTGAGAACCTCCTCTGACTCCGCTGTGTAATCAGCCACGGGCCGCCCCCCACCCCCGGCCCTCTGCCCAGCTGCTCTGCTGTTGGCCCGAATGCCAGCGTTCCATTTGTGCTTGAAAATGTTTGCTCAAGGGTCACTGGTGTGGCCGTCCTCCCTCCGTCCAGGTCTCTGTGGTTTGTGTGGACTGCTGGCCTTCTTGCCACCTTGTGGTCCACTTTGCAGCTCAGCATGTGTCTGGGGCAAGTTCCAGAAACAGTTTACCCGGGAGATGTTTGGGTCAGAGTCTCCCAAAGCCCAGAGGCCAAGGCCCCGGCACCCACAGGGGCAGCCCCAGAGCGGGGACAGGCGTCGTAACTTGATTCCCTAAGCTGGGCTCCCTGCCCAAGACGCTCATGTCCCACGTGTCCCCAGTGATCTTGGCCAGCAGCCCTTCCCGTCACCCAGGTATCTGCCTCTGCGCAAAGACGTGAACAAATGTCACACTTGGCAAGGCGACGCTGTGCGTCCGAGTCCATCGTCGGATCCCAGGGACTCGGCCGGGCATCTCCGAGCCGGTTCCTGCGGGTGTCACCCCTTGAGCGTCGGTGGGGATCCAGGCGCCCACCAGTGGGGATGCCCACCAGTGCCTCCACCGTTAGGCTCAGGGAAGCACCCGGTCACAAGGACGTAGCCTGCCCGCCCCCAAGCCCACCCTCAGCCCACCCCCTAACCCACGCTGCCCAGCAGCTCACCCTTCCTCAGCCCTCTGAAACGTTTGTGGTGGTCTCTCTGACGCAAGGGAGGGGGCAGGAGGCAGCACCCCTCCTGCCGCACCCCATCTCCCCTGCCCCCTTGTTTTCTGTACCCCGTAGAGTCAGGCCCTCTCAGGCAGCACTCAGCCCATTAGTACGTCCCTGCACTGTGCCAGGCCCAGGGGTCCTTGTGCATGTGCACCCGCACTCAAACGCACATGCACATGTGCACACAGAGGCACACACATTCACACATGCACACGAAAGCACATGCACATTCATATGTGCTCACAAACCCTCGAACACATCAGATGTACACAAAGATATGCACACATCTACACACACAGATACAACCAGAGAGCACATGCACATATTCACACACAACTGCACACATATTTGCACAGACACATGCACACACATGCAGATACACGCACATAAATATGCATGCATTCACACAAACACACGTGTATGCACAAACACACGCACGATCAACACACACACAACACACGGTCAACCATGCACACAGATTTGTACAGTCATGCACACACATACAATGCAGTACACACATAAGTGCACAGAAACAAAAACATTCACATGTGCAAAGAGAATACATACATGGACACACAAGTGTGCACAAAGCACATGTGCCCAAACACCCAGGCACACTTACATGTACATGCATGACGCATGGAGATGTGCACGTG